TGTGTAGCAAACCAAATCATGAATCATATCATTCAATCCACGAGGTGTCATTTTTGATATTGAGGTCCAATAGTCTAACCTTTGTTGATCACTCTGAGGTTGATCTCTCCAATATTGCCTTGAAAGTCTGGAGGGTTTCTCACTAGGCAGCTGTAGGTGCCATTAAAAGTTGGATTCACGTCCTGGAGAGTGATGGAAGCATCTTTTCTCATGATATCTCCCGACCACACTACATGCCCTTTGAACTGCGGAGACGTTGGAGGGTGAGGCGTTTCATTCTCGTAGTAAAACAGCTGCCACATACATTACAGAAAAAGACAAAAAGAAGGAAGAGCAGAAATAGAAAATATTAACACACACTGGAAACTTTAAACATATAAAACTAGAAGCTAATACAAGACTGAAATTGAGAGGAAGAAATTAGGTATTATTTGAAAGTCTTATGGACTGAATTTTATTACATTTAAAAAAAATCTATTTTATACTCACAGACTCGCCGGGTTTTGAATTCAGGGGTTGGAAGTACCAGGATACTGTGACAGAACCTGGAGTCACTGGATGAGTACTACTGAAGGTGCAGCTTAGTTTCACATCCGTCCCGTTGACTGCTTCCATTTCCTTCTCCGTTCTAATTTCTATCCCAGTAACATGCCGCACGCCTGAAATAAACACGACCAAACGAGAACAATCAAGATTGAAGTTAGTTCAAACTTCCCATTTCATTAAACACAGTAATGTCCTTGACACACCATGGCATGTGCCTCAGAACTTTACTGCCTTTCAATATAAAATGTGAGTTTGTTACTTTCTTATGGCAACGACATGACAATCTATTCCACAGCCTGACTGTGGTTTTACATGTCTGCCAGTACAGCAACGAACACAGCAAATTGTAATTTAACAACATCTGTACTTGCACACCTACTATGAGGTTAGTGTTAATCTACCTCAAGATCTGCTAATTGGAGCCCTTTTAGGGAACTTTTAGAACAATCTGATGATAATGAATTACAATAGTCCAGCCTGGAAGCAATAAACAGATTAGGATGTTTCAAATTTTAGTGATATGGTGCAGATGAAAGATGGCAGTTTCAGAGACTTCCAGCACCAGTAAGACACAGGATTTCTTTGCATGCTAAATTAATGGGATGTGAAGCTCTTTAGTATAATGGTTAACAGATCCCTGGTAAATAAGGAAGCAGCTCAACACAGACAGAAGAATAAAAGTTAAGAAACCACATTAACCTTAATAAAAGAAGAGTAGGTACGTTTTTAGAAATAACTATTTTTTGTGCTATACAAATAAACTTGCCTTTAAATCTGAATTACTGAAAAACTTATCAACGCTTTCCAAGGCTCTGTGGGAGCACACAGCTGATACTCTTCAAATAATAATAATAATAATAATGGATTGAATTTATATAGCGCTTTTCAAGGCACCCAAAGCGCTTTACAATGCCACTATTCATTCACTCTCACATTCACACACTGGTGGAGGCAGCTACAGTTGTAGCCACAGCTGCCCTGGGGCAGACTGACACAAGCGAGGCTGCCATATCGCTCCATCGGCCCCTCTGGCCAACACCAGTAGGCGGTAGGGTAAAGTGTCTTGCCCAAGGACACAACGACCAGGACAGAGAGCCCGGGGATCGAACCGGCAACCTTCCGGTTACAGATACGCTTCTCAACCCCCTGAGCCATGGTCAAACAAACAAGGCCAGTTTCAGTTCTCCTCTCAATTATCTCCTCCATGGCCGAGAGTGTGGGAACACCCCGTCAATGTATCTGCTGTGTTTACAGACCAAGGTTAATATTGTTAGTTACAGCTAAACTGAAAACTTAAACCAGAAGTGAAAAAATATTTAATTCACTAAAATCAAATTTAACTTTTGGGGGGAAAAAAAGTACAACTGAAACTATTTTGTAAACTTGGAGAACTAACTTCACTCTGCACAACTAACTGAAACTAAGATGACTTAAAGAGAAAAAAGTCAAAACTAAACAAAATGAAAACTAATTGGAAAAAACCAAAAGTACTGTGATCACACATCAAACAACCCTGCAGTCAGAGGTTATGTGCAAGTTTCCTGTTTAAAAGTAAAAATCACACTGCAAACATGGATTTTTTGTTAATTAATACTAAAGATGTTTCCTAAAATGTTGAATAGATTCCTGCTCAGATATCAGATATAGAGATGACTTTGTATGACCAAATGCTGTCCAGCTCACATATCACATGTTAGTTAAAGAAGAATGCAAAATCCATGTTGCATATGGCTTAGATTTACATTCGAAAACAACACACACGTTAAGCTGCAAATAGCAGCTGGTTCAAGTGGATTTTGCCGTCAGTTGCTCAGAATGACATGCAAAAAGGAAGATGAGTGACTGGCATTCTTAAAAACAGTCAGAAGACACCTCAAGACAACAAGCAGAGAAACACAGTGAAAGAAAAGGAAGCCACAATAAAGGAAAAACAAAGGTTTGGGATCCATCATGAGCAGCACAAACATGCTGTACTTAATGTGAATGTATATGTTTGAACTTCTTCCAAAATAAATTAAAGGTTGTTTTTATAGTCTTTTGCATAAAGTCTTTGTATTGCAGACAGCTGCAGCTATGTATACATATTTATTTTTTAAATATATTATGTCATTTTATATAGAAAGTTGGGGCTCTGACTTCCTCTTTTATATAACCAGTTCTAAAGAAGCTTTTTCACAGTGTTTGGCTTTTGATTGTAAACATTACAGCTGTTGCTGAAGCCTTTAAATAGTAATTCTCAAATGCCTACAGTCAAACCGACACATTGCATGTTGATTTTTTTTTAAATATCCACAAAAAAGTGGATATTAAAAAAATAAATAATGAAATTACTTGCATGGATTAAGGCATGACTTGTGGATAGTAATGGTATGTGTGGCATATATAGTCACTGGGCGCTTCATTAGGTACAGCTTACTAATACTAAGGTGTTCCTTGCTGGACCCCCTTTTGCCTTCACAGCTGTGTTTATTCTTTGTGGCATAGATTCTACAAGGAGCTGGAAGCATTTCTCAGTGATTTTGGTCCATACTGACACGACAGCATTGCACAGTTGCTGCAGATTTGTCAGCTGCATATGCGTGATGATCTCCTCTTCCAGCACATCCCAAAGATGGATTCAGATTTAGTGACTGTGGAGACTATTAGGTACAGTGAACTCATTGTAGTTCGACCCTCCTGGCACTACAAGCTGTTCATTTTCGTGCCCCACCGTCCCTCCCTTCCTTCCTTTTTCAATTCATTCACTTCTCATTGGTACATGGGGATTTGCCTGGCCTGAGAGCTGCTGCCAGTCAACTCTCAGGCTTTCCCCAAACCACAGCCTCAATTTATGCTCAAGCCATCTGTCATTATCTACTAGAAATGCTGTGAAACCTAAAGTGAGGATGTGGTCCTAGCTAGTGAATTGTTATTTTCAAGAAAACAGTTTGAGATCAATTCCACCATCAGGCTTTCTGTGTGGAGTTTGCATGTTCTCCCCGTGTCTGCGTGGGTTCCCTCCGGGTACTCCGGCTTCCTCCCACCGTCCAAAGACACGCAGTTTGTGGGGATAGGTTAATTGGAAAATCCAAATTGCCACTAGGTGTGAATGCGAGTATGAATGGTTGTCTGTCCTTGTGTGTTAGCCCTGCGACAGACAGCGGACCTGTCCATGGTGTACCCCGCCTCTCGCCCTATGACAGCTGGGATTGGCTCCAGCACCCCCCGCGACCCTGAAAAGGATCAGCGGTAGCGAATGGATGGATGGATGGACAGTTTGAGATCAGTTTAAGAAGCAGCCATCATGAGATGAGTGATGCGGTCATATAAAGGGATGAACATGGTCAACAACAGTACTGTGGTGTTTAAACGACGCTACGTTAGTACTAAGGGGCCCAAAGTGCGCAAAGAAATTCTTTCCCTCACACCATTAAACCACCACAAGGCTGAATCACTGCAGAACAGATCCATGCTTTCATGTTGTTTACGTCGGATACCATCTGAATGGTCACAGAAGAAATCCAGGCTCATCATACCAGACAATCTTTTTCCACTTCTGTAATTTTTTGTGCCATTTTTGTGAGTCTGTGCAACTTGTAGCCTCAGTTTACTGATCTTAGCTGACAGGAGTGTCACACAGTGTGGTATTCTGCTGCTGCTGCCCATCTGCTTTGAGGTTTGATGTGTTGTGCATTCAGATGCTCTTCTGCACAGCTTGGTTGTAACAAGTAGTTATTTTAAGTTACTGTTGCCTTCATATAAACTCAAGGTAGTGGCCCATTATTCTCCTCTGACGGATACTGGATGTGCTTTCTTTTTCAGACCATTGCAGTTTCTGAGATACTCCGACCAGCCTGTCTGGTCTAAGTATTTCAAAAATGCCACTTTCACGGTTACTTGGATCCCCTTCCTTCCCGTTTTTTAGTTTGAACTTCGGCAGGTCACCTTGCTTAATTGCTTTGATCTGCTGCCATGTGATTGACAAGATATTTGCGTTAGCAAGCTGCTGAACATGTGTACCTAATAAAGTGATTGTCAGTTAAAAGTATGATCTAATACAAAGAAATAATCCATGGCTTCAAATCCAAACACGGTCTTATCAACGCCTACTACAGGCATACTAGCAGAAACTGGTCGCAGTACACGTAAGTGTACTTTATACTCTGTACTACACCGTGAACGCCCAAAGAATAACACGGGCTTTACAGCTCAGAGACCAAATAAGATTCCGAACTTGATGTTTCGTTTGTGTTTCGTTTTATTAAACACGGTTGCCATGTTTGTGAAACACGTTAATAATGCGATGTACCTCCCGGAAGTTCCTAAAACTCACCTGTCAGGAAGAATCCTCCCAGGAGGAGCAGAGGTAATATCCGATACATACTCCGCCTGATTAATTCTTCTGTATAAATCCCTTCATGAAAGTTTATTAGAGTCCGGATCGCGACTATCGCTGCCAAAAGGACAAAGCCGTTTTTTTGGACAGTGAAAACCTCAGTGCACCTGTAGGCGGAGTTTTGCCTATTGCATAACACATGCCCATGTAATCTCACAACCGCTGAGTCGAAACGTGACACATTTCAACCCTACCTTCTTCTTACTCCTACTTTCTAAGAGCACATTCAGTTATTTACACAGCTAAATGCGTCAGACACCTAAAACTTACCAACTCGCTATAGAAAACAGTAAATAAGACAACAAAAAACGCCCTGAAGGCAAACTGCTTCCTCCAGTCAGTCAAAAACTATCTGAAAATTAATCCGAGCACCCAGAGTTGCAAAGGAAGAGTTACCAGCATTACAGCACTTTGCGTGGAGGGGCTCTTGTCCTACAATATCCCAGCTATTATAGGACAAGAGGCAGGGTCCAATCTGAACTAACTGAAATCCAAAGAAAATGGTTACAAGTTTGGAAGTGGTGCAATCAGAAGTTACCTCTCTGTGCAATTAAGGTTAGATAAACACATTTACATTTTTACGCCATAATACCAAGATTTTCTGTCAAAATGAATACTGAGAGATATTATATTACACAGGCTATCATCATACTTTCCCAACTTCTCTAGACAACATAAACAGTAGCTACATCCAGCTTTTACATACAGTCTATGTCATACGCTTGTCTTAAAAATGTAGTTATGCTGATGCAGGCTTAGATGAGTATATACCTTTATAATTTAATACAATGTACAGCAGAATCAGAAGCTCTCCAATTAGGTCTGACCAGGCAACTAATGTCATTACAACTGAGTCTGTCTTCCTCCGTAGTGGACCTGTGGTCTACACACCAAATCTAAGTAAGATATTCACTATAGCTTTACAAATTGTGGTCTGGGATACCAGTAAATCTATAAAGAGGATGCCAGTGTTTGTAAAAATCTCATTTTGAGGCTTTATCTATTTACTGATAAATTTGATATCCTTCAGGATTTGTCTTCACAAACAAATACTTACAAAGCTAATCCGATGATAGGCACTGTTAATTTGAGTTTAATTGATGTTTAGTTATTCTCGATTTAAAAAAATGACAAAACAATAAATTAAAAAGTTCTGACATTGAGGGAAATTCATAATGGTTTATTTACTTTCAGAGGTCTTCCAGGTATGTTTTAGGAGGTAAACGTATTGTATAAAAAATAGCAGCTGACAATATGAGTGATAAATGAAATGGAAAACATGAATCCTGGAGATCTGGTATGGCTCAGTTGTACTGTGCGGGGTATTTTAACTGGTATGGGTGGCTTGGTTTGATCTACTGAAAACTTAAGCAGAGATGTGTAGGGGCTCCATCTGGTGGTTCATTTTGGTATGAGTTATTTTTCCCTAAGAGTAGCGACACTTCTTTCAAACCTTTCATTGAGCTTTCAGGGCACGTCTACACACGCAGAAAAGCAGTGGACTGTTTCAGTTGGTTAACAAACACCGCTGGGGACTTGGCTGGGCAATGTAAGGATTAAGAGGGAAAAGGCATTATAGAAACATAATACAAACAGGAGAAAATAAAGGAAGAACTAAAAGAATTTAAAGAGGTTTTAGTGATGGTGAATCATGCCATATGTGAAATCAAAGTAAAGACAATTTGTGTTTAAATAAATATCCCAGGATATATTTTTAGCATGTCTTATCTGCCAGTTTGTAAAATGTAAAAGTGAGCCAAGCAAAAGCAACCTCGAAGTTTCCCAGGAACAAAGAAAGGCTATTATAAAGCTGATTTCTGTTACTGAAAAAGCCACAGGTTCTTCAGGAGTCGTGAAGAATGCTTACACTGAAAAAAAAAAAGAAAATCTGCATTAACAATGATTGAGGCTCAGTTTGTTTAGTCGGAAACTGGAAGTGTTGGAGTCAGTGAGGGACAGGAAGTCACTGAACAAACTGATCATCATTCACAGCCATTGCTCCCGCTCCATTAGCCACACACTAAAGAGACTGCAGAGCCCATTCTTCCTCAGACTCATTCAGCCTCGCTGAACACTTCAGGAAATCACTCCTAAACAACTGTACAGCTCTCCTTTTTAGTGACAGGTGAACACACCTTTCAGAACATAGGATTACAGAGATATTTCTGTATCAAACCTTCTTGCGGCTGTTTTTTAGATTCATTAATGACATTTATTAAAATGTTTTGTACTCATTTGTGGTAGAATTCTCTTTTGCACAGTCTTAATCTTGTCTTTTTTTTTATTCTTCATTTTGTTTTTCTGGAAAATGTGAAAGGTAGATAAAGATTAACTGTTTTTTATTATAGTTCTTGTTTTTTCATTAGCTAATATAGAAATTTCTGGGGGTTTTTGTTTGTTTGTTTATTTACTACAGCAGGATTTCTCTATCATCTAGAAAAACTGCAACATACTATTGAAATTGCACTTCTTTTTGATATATTAAGATACTTTAGGTACTCAGAGTGTTGGTAAAGTTACTTACTCTGACAGAAAGGGGGGATTTCACTGTTTGTTCCACTTAAGATCAAAGCGGGGTGTATGTGGTGGTGGCCACTGGTGGGCTAGTGGTGGTTTGACATTACTGATGTAAAGCACATTTCCGCCAAATGTAGACCTACGGCCAGAGAGCAGGAATGTTTTATTTCCTGTGTTTTCCACAGTACGAGAATGCAGCATTTGCTCTAACGACCGTGATGCAATGCGGTCAGCTGACGCCGGGCTGGCATCAACGAGAGATCACCGTCGCACTCCGAAAACTAAACTGCACGACATACTCAGACATAGGAGCATGTCTTCATGTCTGGTCTTACACTAACTATTACCATCAAAAAATTTGATATAATTTCATTGTAAGAAAAAATGCGAAGTTGTTCAAACACGCGACCACCTACCCATGATTCCTCGCGGGATCAGCTGTTGCGGTGGTGTGTTTTTGCCCTGCGGTTTCTCCTGAGGAAAAACCTCCCCTCGGTGCTGTGTTTTGGTGTCAGCGACCTCCGCAGCTTACAGAAGGTAGCTGTGCCCGGGTTTAGGTCAGGTGCACGATAGCACTGATAAGACTTTGAACTCGGAAGAATCCACTCTTCCTTCCATCGGTGTTTCGGCTGGTGGTGTCGAGCGGGCACTCTTGCCACTGGAACGATCTCTGTGCTTTCCCTCTGACACACCTTTTGTTGTCTCATCTAGCTCGAGGCTGCTAACACTTGCTAGCGAGCATCATACGCGTCGACTCCCTGACAGCGGTGCAGCGAGGCCGGGGAATAAAAAGTTAAGAGTCACCCAGGAGAGCCGACAAGTCACACCCTGCCAGGTAGTTTGTCTTGTAAATAAATAAGTAATTTCATTTTTAAAAAATATTTTTATTTGTTTATTTTTTTTTTAATTAACGACGAGCACGACAGACGTGTATCAGAGATGCAGCCACAACAGTCTCCAGTCATTAGCAAGCAGCTAACAAGCTAACGTCTGATAAACAGTAGCCTAGCGGAGTTAATGCGATCTGCTCTGTGATCTCTAAACACCCGCACTGAGAGCGAGAGTGGCCTGCAATCCGCATTAGGCCAGTCTGTCTGCTCCCGAAACGCTAAGCCGCTACATCACCCCGCTGCTCTCTGCTAGGTGGTGCAGATGCTTTCCTCTGTGCCCGGCATCAGCATGACGTCCTTCCCCCTCCTGTAGGTCGCACCATGTTTATTGCATGTGTAAATAAGCGCTAGGATTTCTTTCAGGATGAGTGGGGATGACGTGAACCCAGCAGCAGTCCCTCAGCCAGTACAAGATGTTCAAGGAGATGGACGGTGGCTGTCACAGGTATCAGAATACTTTATTAATCCCGAAGGAAATTAGGGAATCTCTATTGTTAGAGTGTTGTAAACATTTACTCTGTATTATCATTAATACCTCATATCCTTCTGATGTATGAAGGCGGTCTGAATGATGTGCATTATTTATCAAAGATAGTTCCCTTATGTGTTTCCATGGTAATTGTTAGTATTAAGTCAGTGTTTAAATAAATAAAGTAAATAAATAAATAAAACCAGTTGTATAATTCAGCTCAGATGGGATGGCACTTTGGATCTGCACCTATGTGTGGCTTTGATAAGTAGGAGTCTTCTAAATTTTGCACGCTGTCCCCATCAGGAGTTTCTGTGTGACGCTTGGAGCGCTTACGATGTGAGACTTTTATTGCTGAGAACTCTTGCAAATTAAACTAAAGCTTAGTATAATATACATTTCTCATGTTAATCGATGCGCCACTATAAGACATCGCTTCGATTTGGTGACCTTAGTCTGAGATTATGTTTTTATTTCTAATTCTTAAACACAGATGTTTATGACTGTGCTGCAATCCCGTGAAGCCAGTTAGTGTTGTTCAAGGTTCTTTATTTGTCACATGCATAGTTATACAAGGATAACACACAGTGAAATGTAGCCATTGTCAGTTGATGTTTTGATCTTCTTAATAATAATATTAGTGTCTGAATAAGAATGGATGACAATGTTGATAACATTTATTATAGTAGTTATAAGCTCATGATCTGACTCAAAGAAAAGGCCACTAAATAAATATCAACCATGTGCTCACAATTTTTAGTCACTAAGAAGACTTTGTTTGTTCCAGTGCATCACTTTGTTTGGCTTGTTTAGTGGATCTTTCTAGAAAGTCTGCACAAAGTTAATCCTCCCAAAGCTAATAGGGCAGGCATTGAGACAGTCTGTTTTACTCGGAGCTCTCTGTCAGATAGGGCACCAGACGCATCTCGCCTATAACAAGCTTGAGGTTTTTTATCTGACTCTGATGGCTCACGACTGTCATCATACCGCTCAGATTTAGAGAGTCAAAACGCAGAGTTTTACATCAGGGGGCAAGTTCTCAGAATCAAGCAGAGAGGGGTTTATTTTTAATAAATTAAAGATGTTCTTGTATTTGTCGGGTCTGTCATACACTATATCACCAGCTCTCTTGGGTTTTTACAGCATTCAAGGTTTGTACAGGAGTGCAAGGATGCTGAGCCAGACGTGCTCTTTGTGGGGGATTCCATGGTACAACTAATGCATCAGTATGAGGTCAGAGTAA